TTTATAAATAACGTGATCTAACCCGAAAACCTTTATTATGAATAACATTGGTCGTGAAAGCCTACGTTTTAAACTAACGTATAATATATTGCATTTTCTATTTGTTGTGGTCATTAAGAATGATCACGTATAGTGTCGTACTACTCTAAATTAATTGTTCGCATGGTTGCTAGAAACCTGACAATCACATTAGCACAACAATAGCTCGGAGAGTTTCTCAAAAACACTCATTAACGTCAAATCAACAAAGCCCAATTTAAAGATCGAAGAGCCGACCTATTTATACTGGGCCATCACGCACGTCCAAGTGCCCCGCATGAGTGTTCCCGGTGGTAATCAACGTGACATTGTATCTCTATGTATCGTGAGCCTCTTTCCAACTTCCCCCATGACGTCGGTACACAGCCAACTACACGCACACAATAGGATCTTCTGTATTTACTGAAAAGTTTGGGCAATGTGAAGAAAATATGTACGCGCGTTGATTCCTGGCCGCAGATTACATAAGTGGCAAGCTGCCTGTCTAAACCTATCATGGGCCTTTGCTTGGTTAACTCAACCTTGCACGAGTACTTTATGTACTTGCCAACAACACTTGTTCCAAATATCTATAAGCCATTGTCTGTGCATGTCCTGAGTAATGGAAGCCAGTTAAATTACCACTCACAACCAACATCAGTGATGAATATCTGAATTGGTCCTGCGCCTGTCCTAGATCAACTCAGCATACTTGTCAGTACATTCTTATGATGCTCTTGCTGTGCACTAAGATCATTTCATAGCAAAGAGCTCTTGTGAATGTTTTGCTCAGTATATACCAATAGCTTAGTTACATACAAATAATTAATTTGGCTCTGACATTTAAAATATCACATTTGTGCATAATGCATTGGAATTATGAAATGTATTACACAACTAAATAATGACGATCACAGTGAAGAAGTGGAATACACATTTTACTAAACAAGAGAATTTTGCATCCAAATATTAACCTACAGTGACTTTAGTTGTTTGAGAAAAAAGTTTTGAGAATACATGAAGCACATTGAGCTGAAGTGTCATCTCTCTGAAGTTACGGATGTGAGACTTCAGGATTGTATAATGGTTCTGCAGAGACAACACAAACCATCAGGTACGTCATATTTTAACGGTAAATAGTTCTCCTTATGGACTTTCAAATATTTTAAACAATTTCCTGAAGACAGGAATATGTAGCAGTAATAATAGTCACGTACATCTGTGTTGATTTTAATATTGGAAATATCACTTGCATTTCAAGAACTCTTCATGAGGAAGGCGTAGAGTGGACCTTGTTGTGGACCTTCCACTTAGACACTTCACAAGCGCCTACTTGGAACATTTGGAAAATTTTATTCAGGCTCAACAAGACAGATGGGCAAGTTTGAAGAGGTTTAGCTGATGATGGCTTGCGAAGTACATTAATTTGAACACGTAGGCTTTCGCGAACCAATATCATCCATAATAGAGGTTTTTTGGGTTAGATCGCGTAAAATATGTAAATGTATCATTAAAATCCACCACCACTAAAACCAACTGCTTGGTTTAGATATGTGGATGACACATTGGTGGTCTGGCCACACGGCAAAGATACACTGAACGCATTTCTAAATCATTTCAAATCGCAATACCTATACATCCAGTTCACCATGGAAGTGGAAGCAGACAGAACTCAGAAAGTGTCAGATGGTGACAGTCTGAGAAGTGAAATTCAACATTCTAGATTTGAAGCTTTCGTGACTGCAATGATTCATACTCTTAGGTTTTTTCTGTAAAGTCACGTAGGTAAAAAAAAGTTGATACAGCAAGTTGATACAGCAAGCGTGCTGTGACGGTTCCACCTGAAGACGGAAGCTTGTGTTGCCTCCGAAACGTCGTAATTTTTATTTTAATTTTATAAAAAAAAAAAAACAATTTTTTACCTACGTGACTTACCGAAAAAACCTAAGAGTAGAAATTCAACATGTTAAAGAAGCGCTACAAATGAACGGTTACAATTATGCACAAATCAACAGGGCATTGAATGCCAAAACCAAATCAAATAACACGAGCAGTGAAACTGCCCAAGTAATTATAAGATCAATATACCGTACATTGCGGGAATAACTGATAAACTAGCCAAATATTTAGGGAAAAACATCCCAGTCAAATTTGGCACGGTATATAAAATACAGAAAATAATATCGGGTAAAAAAGATGTATTACCGAATCTATCAACAGAATGTGTGTACAGGATTATTTGCACGTGTGGAAAATGTTATGTTGGGCAAACAGGACGAATGAGCAGCACGAGACGAAAAGAACATCAGATAAATATGAAATGCTCCCAAATACAACTGTCAGCAGTAGCAGAACACGCGTGCCAACAAGGACACTCCATTGATTTTGATAATGTTGAACTTATTTGCCAAACTAGGCCAAGACTAATTCGAGAATCTATCGAAATTGAAAGAAATAAAATTATTTAACTGTTCGGATAGCTACCGCCTTAGTGCTGCGTGGAAGCGAATCATCAAATAATACATTGTTTAAATGCATGCCTATGAAAGGCACCATACTTAAAAAATTAACCCATAAAAACAAAGTTTTTCACTCTAAATCCTTTATATGCGTGGCGGCTAGAGTCCTCTCGTCCTCTGGCTTGAGATGGCTGCCACCTATGGGTCAGATGATTGCCTGCCACCATTAAGCAATTGGTAATTAAATATTTAAAAAAAATTCCTAAAAAGTGTAAAGTTATGGAAAACATTTTTCACGAAAATAAATTGTCATGCACAACGAGTCTGTGTGCAAAATGTCAGCTCGATTGGATCATGGGAAGTGGGTTAAAAAACGATCGAAAGATTTGCACGGTCGTAAGCGCGCAAGCAAGCAAGCAAGTGAACTTAATATAAAGGATTTAAAAAGGAATTACTGTTGGTACGGATATTTTAATACACACAATAGACAGGAAGGACAAGATCAAAGGGCTCGCATAATGCGCATGCATAATGTACGTTGATTCAGTAACCTCACCCCCCCACTTTGCGCAAGAGCGCAGAAGTGTGGCCCCCACATCTATGCCTCTATATAAGGAACGAAACAGGTAAATCACTGGCGAGACGTCGTACTCAGATTATACATGTTGTGGCTTGGCTCTCCAACACACCGGTACGCTGTACTAGTGACGAATTGGCATGTTCTGTTTATGTGGTAACCCTTACGAGTTGGGTGCGTCGGATGGTGGCAGGTTTTATCGACAAATTTATATATTTACGCGTTCTAACAAAAAAAAAACCTCTATTATGGAAGTACATTGATGTTGTTTTGCCCACAACGGCTGGATACAAGTTGTATAGCAAAATAGCATGGGAGGTTAGTATGCAATGGAATCCTGGGTTTGACGTGTACAGTAGTTCCTAAATATGGAAGAAAAAACGACAGCATTGTTTTGTTTCTTCAGTTGTGCTATTGCAGCCGCACAATGTATTTTCTTGATTCACTTGATTCGTTATTTCAAAGTTTTAGTGCATCTAATATCAGGTGCCTCTGAAGATTAGCTTTCTTTGGCACTCAATTTGTTGGTCAGAAACAATTTATTTTCCTATTTTGGAAAAATCACACAACATCAGCAGGACAACGAGAAATACTCAGCCCATAAATGGAACTGGAAACAGATTCATTAGCTGTGGTTCGCGTAAAAAAATCATTTTGGTGAATCTTCCATTGAAACAGTCAATTGGAAAACCAGGTGGAAAGCATCTATTTTGTAGTTAATCACAGCAATCCTTTTGGGAGGTTCCTTATTTACAGTTAAACATGTTAAAATACTGTTACAATTGCAGATTTGCACATTATATATGCAAGGGTACATAACAGCGTTTTTCAGAGAGTAATTTTCCAATATCGGTTCAACGATGGAAATGTCTTATTGTTGTGCATTGCATTATTTTGCGTCTTATCTATGGTTCCTTTATAAAAAAAAATATGCATGCACCTATACATGAACATTTATTTACATTACCTTTTAATAGGTTTTAATTATTATGTGCACGTGTGAAGCAGGATGGTGTCATTAGTATATCAGTGTCAACTGCATTACTCTATCGCTTCATGCTTGCAATCTACAGGGGAAAAAAGTGATTTTTTATCCATGTAACAATGCATAAATTAATCAATTCACATTGATTATTCTTCTCACTTACATCAAATTGTGCATATAAGAACATATAATTTAGGAATTGTGCTATTCTGAGGCATGCTATATTTAGGCTAACGAAATGAACCCGGAATCATAATCTCTATTTATCCGAGAGAAATGTGATAAGCTATGAAGCTCTTTTCCCACAGATGTCGAGTAGGGGCTGGACAGAACGTTACAGCAACAATAAAGAATACATCATAGATCGGAGTGCAAAGTGTAGGAAAAAAAAATCACAATCACTAAAAAATAAATACGTGAAATCGATAACGTATATAAGTTCAAATTGCATAAATACACCAATTCCAAACTTTGGACAAGGCAGCAAAACAACAGTAAGAACAGTCCCAGACGACATCAAAACAACACAAAGTCCCTCAATAAAAGTGCACATTAAAATGTAACTATCGATACAGGGGACATATAAAAGAGACATTATGAGACACTACACAAATTTTAAGGTAAAAAATTGACAACCTTTAATTTGTCGCAATTTCTGTTTAGTTTTTTTTAGTTTTGAAGGCAAAATTGTGTTCTGAATTATAATTTACCAAATTAAATTTGCAATACAATATTTTAGTATCGTAATTTCGCATTTCATGCATTTAATTACCAATGTTATTTACATGTGCCATTAAACACTTTAAAAGCATTTCTATTTTTCGTGGCCTTTCAAAGTGCACTTTATAGAATACATATTACACTGATAAAACAATCCATCACACTCAATTAGCATCAAACAGACATAGCCCCTCACCCTTCAATTCAATGGAGAAAAATCCTATTAACCAATGTAATTTAAAGTTGCCTCTGAAGCACTAACTCGAAAATGCAATTACGTTTTATATTTTTCAGTAGAGTAATTGTTGCCGACGGTTATATCTTGGTAGCAGTGGGTTTTCTTAAGCGCGCAGTCAGTTTTAGGTCCTAAGGGAAAGACACGAGTATGCAAAAGCATGTGTTCAACACCACTTGGCATCCCATTCGGTAAACTCAACACATGGGTGGTATTAGGGTATGAATGCATTTGCTATACAAACAAGGCCAGACAGACTGTAGGAGAAGAAAGAAGAACACGCGACAAAATGCAAACATCCTCTACGAAACAAAACAGAATTTCAGTGTACCTGCTTAAAGATAGCGCTGGTTTACATAACTCTGCAGCTAACATCACAAAACAAAGGGTCACTTGTGCACGGATTAGCGCTAGTCTAAATCGTTTCACAATCAGCTCGTTGTTATTGGCAAAGTCTTTTCTTCAGTCTCCACCGCTTAGAATAACGTAGTGATGCACTCATGTTGTAGAGGATTCGTGTTGTTGGGGCACAAAGCAGTAACCACATTTTGAGCCTCCATTGATAATGAAGGTGTGCTAATAATAATAATAGGCATGGGACACATCACCAGACATATTACCCAGGAGATTCGTGATGTAGTCTGGTGTGTTAGCCAGTAGCCACCTTTGCCACGAATTTTATTGAGGAATTCTTGACCAAACAAACACCAGTCGCAATTGCTATCTAAAGCAGTGGCCCGAGTACCAAACGGCCTAAGAAATTCTACGAATTGCAATTCAACAAATTGCGTAGTCCACAGTTTCTCCCACGTGTCGACTCCCCGCGGAATTTACACAAGGGGGCCGCGTATATATCTCTGCCAGAACGCATAAAGAGTGATAGCGAGCAGACATATGTCCGCCGTCATCCTCGCTGCTGCTGCTCCTGCTGCTGGGCTAATTTCACTGAAGTGGACACCCACATGGGGGTCCATTTCATCAGATGCAAAGTTCACTCTTCTCCCCGAGAAGAGCAGCTTGCTGTCGCAAATAGAGCATCCAATCGCATTTGGCGTCAACATCCCCATTGCAGCCGAATTGGCTGGTGCAGCGCGAGAGATGATGCAATCCACAGCAACGATCAGGGACTTCACTTTTAGCACGACAAATTTTCCGTAGCGTGCGCAAATCACTTAATGGTTGCTCCATTTAAGCAATATGTATCTGTTCAATAAGACCCCCCCCCCCCCAGGTTAGGGCTTGTTCAGAAAGTTGCAACTTCAGTGAACCTATAGGGAACAAGAACAAATACCAGGCTGTCACTGAGAGGAAAACAAAGATCTTAATATTTCATCTGACTGACATTCTTTGGGAAATATTTAGGTTAACATAAAACGGGAGTGTCTTACAATTATTTTATTTACACCTTCAACACAGGCACATGCAGAAGTAACTATTTTCTATCTTACCAGGTAGGGCCCACTGAGCTATATTGCTTTCTTTCAGAAGCGACCTGGCCACAAGTCTATGCAAAAAAAAGTGTCTTATCATCTTGGAAATGTATAGCAGCCAATTACTCTAAACACATGTTTCTAAATGTGGAGGGTAAACCGGAGAACCCAGATAAAAATCCACGGGGAGAACATGCAAACTGCAAATATATAGGCATCAGGATCAGGATAGAACCCACAACCTCATGTATATCAGGCAAGGGAGTTAACATCTTGCCACCGCGGCGACCCAGAACTGGAGGTCACAGTTAGTAACTGACTGATGCTCGCATATAAAGAATCAGTGTTCTGCAGCTGTGATTTTGGAAGGCAGAGACAAGGACTAAATAGAGGTAAGAAAAAGAGAGGAAAGAATATAATAAAATAGAAAGGAGGGAAAATAAAGGTAGGACGAGGGATTCTGGGAAGAAAGAAATAGTGATGCTTTAGGGGTGGCTAAATTTCCTGACCCAATGAGCCATACACAAAACCCTTCATATGACCAAGAATCACAAACCACAACACAGGAAACACCCTCATAGTGCTTTAACGACACATTTACCCCATTAAACCTATACTATGCACTCTCATCGAGTGTGCATATATGCATCTGTGCAGTGCAGTAGATTGAGAAAAAAAACTGAGAGAGCATGCGCTGAGCGGGTCACGTGGAGTTATGATTATGGCTCATTTGCCTGCACTGGTTTTCTGTGGAGATTTGAATTCAGAATGCTGTTGGAGAACCCCGGGAGGATGCACGTCTATCTGTGCTGCCAGAAGTTACTGCCCTTGGCCGGACCCTGCTTCCACAGATTTATCCCATTTTAAATAAAAGTTACGATGAAAAGCTACAAATCAGTTACGTATCAATTGAGCCGCAAGTGGCTCGTAAGCCTCGCTGTTGGCCACCCTTGGTGTATGGGTGGTCGGTGTTGCCAGGCTTAGTGGGAATAGCCTATGGTGAGACAATATTACAAAACTAAACACAAATCTGAACCAAAGTGTTAGTCTACCCCTAGATCGTGCTAACCTTTGAAGAGTCCACCACATTTGCATGAGGATCAGTATTCACTGTGAGGATACTCAAAATTGATAATTATATGCCACATGCCTTCTCTTTGAAAAAAAAATGTGCCAGTTGATTCACATTAATTTCAATGTCAAGTGCAAATGTCAAGGCTGAAAATGAAACAAAGATGAAAAAAAATACACTGTACATTAAATAAACTAAAGCAGCAAAACCAACCAACACACTTTTTCATATGACTATAACTTCAAAACTTCATTATTGTTATTATTTTGTTCAAATGTCCATTATGCAGCAATGAGTTAAAATATATGACATTTCTCCAAGTAAATTCTTGTTTTTTTCTCCTGTGATGTCATAAAATTAAGATGCGTATGATATTTGGGAACTGTAGGAGCGAGTATGAGTGATTATTGGTGTGTGTGAGTAATGATGCAAATTTATCAAGCTTACCTAGTAGACATATATACTGCACCACTGCTGCTGAGCATTATGCTAAAAAGCCACAAAATAAGGGCAATACATAATGTTGTGGCTCAATGCACAGCCAAAGGGCATTGCTAAGGGAAAAAATAGACACTATATGCAGTCTGTACAATGGAACCTAGCACCAAGGATTGATTCAATATTACTGGGTGCTGATGGAAATATCTGTGGCCAGTTTTGGGAGGGTTGATCTACTCTGTGCCTGGCAAATTAACTGAAAGTCAGGTTCGGTTAATTGTGTTCAAGTGAAAACTGCAAAATATATGGTATACATTCTATGTCCATTATCCAATGCAGCAAGGCTGTAGCTTTCCCAAACGATGTCACTTGATTTATTCAAGGAATGCCGGAATGCTGGTTTCATTCATTTGTGATTTGCAGTGACTGCTCTACTGACAATGGACAACATATATCTAATTAGTTTGCAAACAGGAAGGTATAAACAATGTGTTATGCTAAGATATTTGTATTTTTATATTATTTCATCTAACATTTAAACAATATAATCCTCAAGTTAGCAATATTCTCAATGTTACAATACTGGTGTTGAGTTCATTAGTTAAACACATATTTCAATTACTCCACGTATGTATGGCTTACAAAGACTGCATTGCTGACAATTTTTCAATATAAAAAGCATTTAAAATAAGACGTTAACGCACTTTTTTGCGTTCAAAATGTAAGATAACGATCATTTAATAGGCTCCAAGCATTGTATACATATTTACTCCACTTTCTGCAGAGGACAGCGAAATATGTCAGATTACAGGTGAACTCACACAATATAAAACAGGCAAAATGCTGCAATCAGCCATACAATATACCACAGTGACAGTGATTAAGTGTCCAATGGGGACCTCCACTGCAATATTATACATTCAGCGCACCAGCTCTGCACTGCATGCAAGAATGTATTTAAGCAAGTGGACATGATGCAAGGTTCAGCTGCGGTACATGTAATAACAGGAGTACCCCTAGTATGATCGCATTTGTTTCATTGCTGCTTAAGGGTTATGTATCGAGTACAATAGTTGCATTGCATAAAAGTGCCAAAATGTTTTTACACGTCCACAGTTTTAGATAAAGAAGAAAAGAGAACTGATCTCTGCACTTGAATAAATAAATGTGTGGCTCATGTAGGCACTGCACAGTGTGGACAGCAGGTATGACCGATATGATAAATTGGATGATTAATATATGTGCATACAATTCACATTAATCATACTGCTCGCACTCGAATTATCTTAAAACTATGTTAAGGCTGTAAGCCATTTTAACATCTTCATTCTAACCTATCAGTGGCAGCTATGGCATTATAACGTCTAACTTATGAAGTACCACAATCATTGTTATCTACAGTACAGGATATTAATTGAAAACCCAAGTGGTATCAATAACCAATACAATATTTACATGTACAGCGGTAGTGAGTGTGATAGTATAAATTGATTTTTTTTTTCAATTGGGAGTTAAAATGCAAGACAACCCAAGATTGTTTTACATGCGTACTGTATATGGTATACATTTGACATTACACTGATATTGTCGGTGAATGATTGAATATGAACAGAAATACGTGTAAATTAGTGAATATGTTTTATATAATTTTTCAAAAAACTTTTTATCCAATCTTTGTGTGAGTCCGAGGTTATGTGCATGCATGTGCTGTGATGGCATGGTGGTGAGCAAATAACAGACACTCACTAACAACACTTTCTGCTCGCGTTTAAGGCTAAACAGAGGATCTGTGTTTTAGTGTGTGTGTGTGAGAGAGAGATAAATTACTACCTTGAGTGATGTTTGAACATTAGCGTGGTAGTAAATACACATGACTGCACTGCAGCTTATGGATATGATATTGGAACATTTTAGTCTAAACGTTCACAATCTCCTAGCCCTGTGTACCCTTCGACACCAGATTCACCTTTCTATACGCCAACAAGATGTGTCGTGCACATTAGCTTATATTTGCATGCATATGGCATTAATATAAAACTGTACCATTGGGAGCATGTTAAGTACGCAGTCTGATAGCCAATAATTTAACATATCGGGGTCAATATCTATAGGGCGACACCTGACCCCTCTTTGCACACTCATTATGAAAATATTTTGAGAACATGCACCGAGACAATACGAGTAAACTATAACTTACCTTTCCAAAACATAATTAGTGATGGTTTAAATTAAGTAAAAAAATATACACGAACTGAAAGTTACATTCATCAACAACAGAACATATAATCACAACATGAATAAATCAAACTTGAAAATTCCCCACACGGAACTATTTGTATTGCATTTACCACATGCCCATTCTCTCATCTCGCGTTCATGGCATTTACACACTGCGACGTGGGGGCCCTGTCCATGTCAAAAGTTTCACGTTCCCTGAGAGTATGGGTAGTGGCAGGAAATGTGTGTCCAAGTGAATTTCTTCCCTAATTATGTTAATTATCGTAGCAGTACCAGGGCCATCGGCGGCTCGCTCTCTCAAGCAAAGGCTGCATCTGGTGGCTTCCCCTCATTATCTCATGGCATTTCTTCACTTTCTCTTTCCACGTCAAAAGGGGCCACTTTATTACAAATCCACACAGCTTGTCAACTATGATTACTTCCAATACAGCCACCTTCTTATATAACCTCCGTGTCCTTTCCCCCTTAATTGTACAGACGTCACAACTTATTATTTCTGTTTGGCTGAACGTCTAAGAACCACAGTCACTCAATTGTGTGACCAATTACAGGAAGCTTGGAAATGTGTGCGATTCAATTGGGCACAAAGGACTAAACTTGTGACTTGACATTGACAATGCTTTTAATGGCCCTTTTAAAATAGCAAACAACGCAAAAACAAAGTGCAACGTGAAGGGTAGATGTCACTCCCCGATGCTCATCTTTGGTGGATTTTATTAGGTCAATTCAAAACACATGCAATTTTTGTTGTTGTTGAAAATCTAATTACTGACAATGTTTGTAAAACTACTGATCATGTTTGTGGAATGTATGTTTTTAATGAATGTAAATGTGTAACTTTGGTTGACGAGAACAGCTGTTTCCTTGATAACATTATTGTCCCTATTGGATTACAATCTCTCAATAAAATTCTAAGTTGATAGTATTGGAGAATGTTCCTTCATCCATGATGCTTCACACACCAATACAAATCGAATAGATATATATTACATTCAATAACTATCACCTCTCAGTCGACTGTCTACAATAAACGGATTAATTGTTTGCGCACTGTGAATGTAAAATGATTTGAGGCATTGCATCTACCTAATTCAAGGACTTAATTTATGTAATTATTTTGAGCATTATTCTGCCACTTTTGGTGGAATGGTGGTCATTTTCACGTGAGGCCAGACCCATTCCACATTTCACAATTAATATGCAGCCGATTTAGCACAAACAAACACACCCATTCCACCACAACCTGCAGTTGGAGAATAGCCTGAAGTGAGCGTTGTGACAGCAGTGTTAAGGCAAAAGCCCGACAATGGTGAAATACTTCGTGGAAGCTTTTCACCATCATGTGTAATTGTCCCAATTAAGTTTGGGGGCCTGACTTTTGCATCGATGAGCGTTGAGCTGGCACGGAGATCCCTTCGTCTTTAAATCACGTACATGCTTCATCTTCATCATGCAAAATATTCGTGAAATGTCCACAACATTTACAGCAATTGTTTTTCTCTCTACACGTTTGTGTTGCTCTAAATGGTGGGGCAGAAAGTGCTAGAATGGATACAAGCATGCCCGAGATGAATGGATGATGACGTTGAAGGTAGAGATCAAGGATGATTATGACAATGAAAATTATGTTGAAGATAGTGACGAGGATGAGGAATGTGCTGCTGAAGATTATTATATGTATCCTTATGTTAATTAAGCAGTACTAATTAGCCTTTGGCTTCGTATTGAATTTCCACATTTCGGTGGAGAGTATAGCAACGTTCTCTCAAGCACACACACACATGTATTGTGAACACACACATGTAGTGTGTGCTTGTGTGTTCATTCATGAGATGGACGGAGCCTGATTGGTCGCCATGGTCCATTGGTGGACCAAGTATGCTGCCGTCGGCACACACAGCTCTGCTCGCTCCTTGGCATCAGCTGTTGATTGGCTGCACGAAATGGGGCTATACCTAATCTGCCTTGCAAACGTGGCCAAAAAACTATCATGAATTAGGCGCAATTGCTTTTGTGGAATTTCAAGCCAATGCAAGAATTTCACGAAAGAATGTAAACAAACTCTACATGAATCGGGCCCTTAATAGTGATGTGAAAAAACATACAATAACAAGTTCTATCAATGTGTCAAGTTGTGTGATATGATATGCTGAATTTAAGCCGGATGCTATATATCAAAACATATAATTTGATAGGATATAATTCGGGGTCCTTAAAGTAGATCTTAATTAATACACATGACTATATATATTTAAAAACGTTCACATATTCAAGACTTTATGACCATCACTCATACACGCATACACTGTGCTATTTATCCTTTCATATTTACTCAAACAAGAATACACAGGAGGGCTAATTTTAACTCCTGTCACACTGCAATGTCTTTGCTCAGTTGGCCATCTATCTGAAATGTACTCTAATGCTGTTGTCTAAGTGATACTTTAAGACTAGCTTAAGGCGGTGAGTGTGAAGTCCAGGATGGGTGCTGCTACTGTAATGGGTCTTGGGCCAGAGGACCTGTGGAGTTTTTAAAGGTCCATGGTATAGAGCCTGAAAGCAGAAGTCTGTCCTCATCACAACAATGGTCTATAACGTTGTGTAGAATGAGTTTTAGGTTTTATTCTATATGTATTGCTCAGAAATGTCAATCCACATACAATCATTAATGGTTGATAAAATATGAATATAGAAATTGTTAAGCATTTGAAGGAATGTTTCAGTTAATTGCTGTTGTCTTTTCACCAGATAAATATGCAAAAAAACATGCGAACGGCTAGAAAAAAAACAATTGAAAAAGCATTCCATGGCAGATTGAAAGTGCTCCCATTTTCCTCTGGCTCTCCGCACCACACTCCCACACCCCTTTGTAGAGCCATACCTGCCTTAGAAGTGTTGTCTTGGAGCAGAATGTTCAGACTCTCATGAGGACCCGCAACCTTCAAAAGGTCAACACATAATAAGACAAAACACTTTAAATAATGCATGTATTCCCTTGTATTACCAGACAATTTCAGCGAGCTGCTTACATACCAAAGCAAAACAAAAGAATGCACTTAGGCTAAAGGCAATCCCTTTCCCTTAAGCCTCGTTGATCCTTCAAGTATTTTAAGTGAAATACTCATGTGGTTTGTGCTGGGGTGCCATTGATGGATGGACAATCTCAACGGCTGTACTAACAGTCTCGGCAAATGTGATTGGAGTGTGGGCCAAATGGAACCTGAACAAACATGTTAAAAGCTGCTTGGCTTTCTGTTAATACATCTACACTGGCAGACAAAGCAAGTGATTCAATTAGAATATACTTGGTTCATTAAATCTTTTGAAAAATAACAAAAAATATACTGAATGATCACATCGTATGACATTGAGAATACAACACATCGATTTCCTTTATTAGACCAGATGCGGACTGTTTGGCGGAAATATTTGATTTGTGTGAGATCTGCTAATATAAGTATGCTTTATTGTTTGTAAAGTATAGTAGTTTTTATTTTCAGGTGTATAAATTATAGATTTACATCAGATGAGGTACTGTAATGAAGTCTCCACAAAATTACGAATCAACTGATGTGATGTTTACATATTTTTTATTTATACATGACTCAGTGGTATGCACAGCAACCACTGAACAATTTGGACACCTGAATATTGTTCTCTGTTAGTTTTATTATCAATGCCATTGCAACATTTCACGAACGGACAAACGATATTAAGAAAGTTTAAGAAAACAGTGGGGAGAAAATGTCAATGTTGCTTTGGATCAGTAGATCATTTAAACGTAATCAGAAACACTTTATATTAACACAAATGCCCTTCCGCATAATGTGAACATTGTTTTCATAATCTACATGACCTGTATCAACCACATTATTGTTGTTGCTGCCCCATAGGACATCATAGTCACGATAACATTCATTGCAATGCAGAAATGATGTTGTATGTGCCCCGCAATAGCATGACTTTTTGTTTGCATTCCCAGGGTCATGTTACATAGTGTGCACCTGTCACATCACTGCTGCCTTTCTGTCAACCTGCCAACTTGATGACATTAATAGCCCAATGGGTTTCATGACCCGTGTTTTGGCCATCCCAGCACAGTATTTTGATTTATAACACGTCAAAATGTGACCGCGTCTCAAGACGCTGTACAAATATGGGACAGGCACATCGAGAACATTTTAAGAGGGTTTTATGAAACTGTTTTCTTTGTCTTTTTCAGAGAGGAGTCAGGGGTAGACGTGCTACAGGACAAAGAAGAAAAGGAGATGGCAGAATGGTAAATGTGAAAATGAGGGCACTTCAAAGAGGAAGCACAGTCGGTCATTAGCAAAAGAGAAGAGGATGGTATTGAATCAGGACCTATTTCGAGGGAGGGAACTGGCAGTGTGGATAGCCAGAGGAAGCGAATACCAGATGACAAGAGCAGGGAACGGTGAAGGCTGACAAGGGGTTTTGACTTCATAATTAGGCATACTTTGCAGCAGTGAGCATTGGTGACTTTACTGTATTACTGATGAGCTCTAATAAGGATGACACCGGTCTGCAGATGTATCACTGCTGAATATCTGTACCACTGTTACCTATCAGTCAGTCATATTTGCTCAATTTGATCTTCATTACAACTTAGGATAAGAGCACAACAACGCACTTTTTCTGGAAATGCGGTCATTTATTTTTCGACTAATGTGTGGTTGGAAAATTATGACTTTCCATCACACAATTTTTCTTGTTATGGTGGGGTTTTTTCATAATGTACAGATTTGATTATCTTGGAGTGTGCTTTTGTGCTAATTTATTTTTGATAATGGGACACAAAAGCAATTTTTTTATTTGGAAAGGACTAAGAATAGGTCTATTTTATTGTTTTTAAATGGGTTGCAGAAAAGCATTAAACATAAATATTTTTTTGGGTTTCGGACACTGCATGTTTCTGCCATGCAGGGGTTGTACAGTATACGCAAACCCCGTTAGAGAAAGTGAGGTGCCAGCATGGTCCAATTAATGATTGCTTCTCCGGCCCTTGCTGTAAGCTGCCATTTCAAAGCAGACATGTCTCCCTGCAGCAATGGACCGAGTCCTACAATAATATTTCATCTTGACCATTAGTTAGATAGCTATATATAGGCAATTATGTAGTGTATGTTGGCATCTGAATGTGCGTGTGGGTGATTATGTGGATGTCTGTGCAAACATGCAACTGTGAACGTATGGGGATGTTCACGTACGTATATGTACATCTTGTGGATGCGTGGTATGCATAGTTGTGCATGGGGAATGGTAGTTAGTGTGGTGCGCTACGAACCCGACGACGCCAGTTTGATTCCCACTCATGGCCAACACCAGTGACGATTATCTCAACCGGTCATGGGCCCCTCCTAGGTCGACTCAGCCTCAAATTAATACTTGGTGTGATGCGTAAATATCACCCTTGGGGAGACAAAGGCGGTCGGGAGCGGTGTTGGCCACCCACCCCCTCGTGTGCCGCACCAGCCTTCATAGGTGCTCGCAAACAGCACTTGCCCCAACCGTCTTCAGGCTACACAGGGGATCTTTGTCTTTGCATGCAAAGCGCTGGGGGAACACCTCTACCAGAGTCCCAAGCTCAGGGAGGTGTCCCAAACTTGCAATTCTGTTGTGAGTACATGCGATAGTTTGACGAGTAAATATCGAACCGATTCCTAAACATTAAACTAATTGTAAGGGTGCACGGTGATGTAACTTTGTGGTCAATATCTAAGCCACGTATTTCATTTCTGACACGTAATTTTGATCTAGTCAAATAGAGCATTCAAATGCGCACTTAGTATGTATTAATACATTGGGTACAGTCTAGGCCTGGGGAAAAGCATTCCCTTTGACAACGGCGGAGGGAAAGCGAACCAATGTTATTCGGTACATTTCTGTTGGTTGAGCCCGACTTTATGTGCCTGTTCTTGTGAGCTTATATAATGAGGCTACATGTAAACTACGTGATACCCACACATAAGCAGGCAGGAATGCTGGGATTTAATAGCTGACTGGACATGCATAACATATTCTGCATGGAGAAAAAAGCCTACTGTGATATTTTACAATATTTTGTGATGCTACATTGATGCACACATTAAAGTAGTTGTTTATTTGATTGGTGTTTGCATGAGGATTGTTTGTGTAACTTAATTTACAGCTCTCTGTCGATCCTTTACTTTATGAAAGCCTCTCCATTTCTGTGTTCGTTTGGCGGGGGTGACGTTTGACCATCCTTCATCATATTGGTCAGTTCCGTTGGTGAAAGGGGGAGCCCATGACCAGCTCGGATGTCACTCGCCACTTATGTTAGCCACACCTCGGAATCGAATTCAGTGAACCGGGTTCGGAGTACATTGCACCATCGCAGCACCCTTATTTATGAAATGATTAACGCCCACTGTTTAAAATAACAACAGATGTTGTTTGCATGCCGTGCCGCATCTTGCGATTACTTAATTGTTGTTTTTTTGAGCCACGGAAAAATATGCTTTTCACTTTAAAAAAAAGAAGTTTTAAATCACTCTGTGCCCTGTTCACCCCACTTTAATATGCACAGCGGGTTTTTTTGTAATGTCACTAGTCATCATTTTGGTATTTAAAAATCTCATTAAGGAAATTAATACAATTTAGAATATGGTTAAGTTTAGCCATTGGACGTAGTCAAACAAATGGCACTTGCTCAACTATGCAAAATAGTTCTTATTCAGTTTTTGATTACAGATGACCCAAGTGGACAACTTACTTGTTTAATATATTCTTAGAATATTACAATCTTACTACGATTCTGTTTCCCCATTCCTAAAATTCCAGTTCCCATTACCAGCAAAACAGGTTAAACCAGGCTAATCCCTCCGAGTGCCTGATGGCTAAAGTTCACAAAGTAATAATTGTAAAAGGCTGATGGCTGGGACATAAAGAGGAATAATGCCCTCATTAGTGTCCATCAAATAGAAAGGCACTTTTTTTTCTCCCTCACTAAAGTACATCGCCGCACCTTGATTAATCCTTAATACGCTTTGTTTTTTCAATAAATGGCATTATTTCTACACATGATGACACACAACCTATTTTGTTTATATGTGTAATGTTTAAAAAAAATGTGTTCACAATAACCTTCTTTATTTAATGTGTAGACATATATAATTAAATACGTGGATTTTTTCTCTCCCTACGATCTGCTTCGTATGAGACTGCTGAACTGACTAATGCAAATAAAGTTGAACGTAAAAAAAATGTGTAAACAATGTACTGCATGACACTGGGATGAAGCAGTGCTGTGGTGTTTTAATGCACTGTGCTTTGCACCCGACAACCTGAGTTCAATTCCTGCCCATAGCTACTATCAATGGTAATATTTGAATTGGTACTGGGACTCCCTGTACTAACCTGGACTGAGAGGCATGCTGAGGTATGGTCACAAAACTCTGACGACTCACACTGCACTCGCAGGCTATCAAGCAGCAATCGCTTGACAAAGGGCTGTAAGTTATTATTTTATGATGATGTATGTAGAACTTCTTTCGCACAGTACATAGCCAATCTTGATAATTGGAGGTGCGGGGGAAGGACAGCAATAACATGATGATGATTATTCTATCACTATCACATATACATTACAAGATTAACATGCTAGGTTATTCTTTGCCTTCATGAAGGATTTCATGTAGTTTTGTATCTATCAAAACTATATATTTAGTCACACTAGATGCAATGGCTATGTTTCTATGGATATATCGATGTGAATTGCTGTATTATTATTTTTTTCAAAAGTTGCATGTTGCTTTTATGAAAATAAATATATTTCCATTAATTGACCGCGTACAGAAGCAAATATATTTACATGAAGGTAGAACTTCAATATTTCCAAATATGTTAAGTTCTTGAATATTTCAGAGATTCACATAACAGTCACATTTATGTGAATTAC